GCCTTGCCCTGCCTCACGCGTGCCTCTTGGCTCAGGCTCCGGCGGAGCCAAAGTACCGCCGGATGCGCCTCTCCAACAAGCTTGTCGCTGAGGGCCTCGTGCACGTCCCCGGCGAGATGCAGCCGAGATGCAGCCGAGATGCAGCCGAGAGGCAGCCGAGAGGCGGCCGAGAGGCAGCCGAGAGGCAGCCGAGAGGCAGCCGAGAGGCGGCCGAGAGGCGGCCGAGAGGCGGCCGAGAGGCGGCCGAGAGGCGGCCGAGAGGCGGCCGAGAGGCGGCCGAGAGGCGGCCGAGAGGCGGCCGAGAGGCGGCCGAGAGGCGGCCGAGAGGCAGCCGAGAGGCGGCCGAGAGGCGGCCGAGAGGCGGCCGAGAGGCAGCCGAGAGGCGGCCGAGAGGCAGCCGAGAGGCGGCCGAGAGGCAGCCGAGAGGCGGCCGAGAGGCGGCCGAGAGGCAGCCGAGAGGCGGCCGAGAGGCGGCCGAGAGGCGGCCGAGAGGCGGCCGAGAGGCGGCCGAGAGGCGGCCGAGAGGCAGCCGAGAGGCGGCCGAGAGGCAGCCGAGAGGCGGCCGAGAGGCAGCCGAGAGGAGGCAGCCGAGAGGCAGCTTAGAGGGTCTGCGCAGCGCCTCAGTCGCGTGTGGAGCGCCCCGCTGTAGGGGCGCGGCAGTTCCTGGTCGCGCATGGCTGGCGCGCCGTGCTCTAGATGCGGAAGCAGAGACGCGTCGCGCCCTGACACGACCGCCCTACCCAGACGGCACGCGTCCCTCGGCGGTCCTTCAGGCCGCCTTGCCGTCGTGGCCCCTGCCTTCTAGCCCCCGGGCTCGCGCGACTCGCGCGATGCGCCGAGCACACACTTGGTGCCGCGCCCACAGCCCGCACCCTCAGGGCTTGCCCGCGCTCCCGCTCCAGGCGCATCGTGGAGCGCGAGTTCCTCGAGCTGCCACCGAGCGACGACCCGGCGGCGCAGGCGGCGGCGCAGGCGGCGGCGGTGGCGGCGCTCACTCTGGCGGTCGCCCAGGCACAGGAGGAGCGGCGCCGCGCCGAGCTCGAGGCGCGGAAGCGCGAGGCAGCGGAGCGCGTCGCGAAGCAAAAGGCGGAGCGGCGAGCGGACGCGAGGCGGGTGGGGCGCGCGCGGCGTCGGGTCTCACCCTGCGTGGGCCGGCCTCTCCCAGGCGGACCGCGAGGCGATGAAGGCGGCCATGGCAAGGGACCGTGCAGAGGTTGCGGTGCGAACCTCCCCCCCTCCGTCCCGTCCCTCCCCCTCCTCCCGTCCCGTCCCGTCCCCCCCCCTCTGCCCCCTCTGAGGCCTCGCGGCGCGGGCAGGCGCGGGGGCCGGCCCAGGCTTCGGTCGCAAAGAAGCTGCCCACCGAGTCGGCGGGCAGCATGTCCTCCGCCATCTTCCAAGAGCAAGAGGAGGCGGAGGCGCGCGCCAACGCGCGGTGAGACGCGCGGCGACGGACAAGCGTTGCCGCCGGCGTGGACTCGCAGTGCCGTTTTGTGGGACTCGCAGTGCCATCGCCGTTTATGCTGTCGCGTGTGTGGGGAGCTTTGCTCCTGCTGACACACACGCATGAGCGCTCGAGAGTGGTGCGGAGAGCGGTGAGAGGTATGACGGGGCTCTGGCCAACCGGGGCCGGTGCCGGCGCGGGACCATCCGGAGACGCAAACCTCGCCACGCGGGATTTCTTTTCGAAAAAAGAGACCTGAATAAGCCCACGACTGACCCGCCGGGGCCGTGCGCCCGCACTCAAGCTCTCGACATACAAAAAAGTGCGTGCATATGTCCGCATTCGGCCAGGCAGCCCGCTCGACTGGCGGCTCAAGGGGCGGCTCTCGCGGCGGCGGCGGCGGTTCGAGCGCCTTTAGCGGCAGCGCAAGTGCGTTTGGGGGCGGCGGCAGCTCGGGCGGTGCCTTTGGTGGTGGCGGCGGCTCGAGCGCCTTTGGCGGCGGTGGTGGCTTCGGGAGTGGCGGCGGCAACAGCAGCGGCTTCCGAGGCGGGAGCAGCGCATTTGGCGGGGGAGGCGGCGGGCGGTCCTCGCAGAGTGCCTTTGGAGGCGGCCAGCGCGGCGGCGGAAACCGGTTCGACGCCCTCTCGACCGACATGGCCGCCGAGCCAACCGGTCGGAACGAGGTGCCGTGCCGGACGTTTGCGGCGACGGGCCGCTGCCGCTACGGCGACCAGTGCCGCTTCTCGCACGCCACGGGCAAGGGCGGCGGCGGCGGCGGCGGCGGCAGCGGCGGCGGCAGCTTCGGCGGCGGTGCCGCAACCTCGTCAGTGCCGTGCCGGACGTTCGCGGCGACGGGCCGCTGCCGCTACGGCGACCAGTGCCGCTTCTCGCATGGGCCGCCGGCCGGCGGCGGGCAGGCACGCGCGCCGCCGGGCGCGGGGTTTGGCGGTGGCGGCAGCAGCTTTGGCGGCGGCGGCTTTGGCGGCGGCGGCGGCGGCGGGGCAGCCCCGGCGGGCAGCTTTAGCTTTGCGCAGCGGCAGCAACGCGCGCCCACCGGCACCGGCTGGGGCGGCGGCGGCGGCGGCGGCGGCATGGGCGGGGGCGGGTGGGGGGCGACCCCCGTGCGCGGTGGTGGCGGCGGCGGCCCCCCCTCGCGGGGCCCGCCCGGCGGCGCCGCGGCGACGCCCACGTCGGTGGCGCCCGCGCCCGCGGCGCCGGCCGTCGCCGCGCCGTCGGACGATGCAACGACGCTGGTGGACGGCGCGAGCGTGAGCGACGAGCAGCTGGCGGGCTGGAGCCTCACGCGCCCGCTCTTCGACGCCTTCAACGCCGCGCGCTTTCGGCCGGGCGGCATCCCCGAGATGGAGCCGCCCCCGCTGGTCGCGTGACGGCGACCGCCGCCACCGTTGCGAGGCGACGGCCACAACGGATAATCGGATGAAGCTTCATGCGCGGCGGCGAGGCGGCCGGCGGGTGGGAGGGCGGAGGGAGGCATGTGTAGCGACGCGCGGTAGTTGGCGACGGGGCGGAGTCGCCGCTGTCCCGACGCAGCTTCAAACTTCATTCAGAGCAGAGAGTGGCAGAGGGCTTTGGCAGTCCGATTGCACCCGACCACCCGGCGACCGAGCATCCGAGCAGCACAGGGTTCAGCCAACAGCGAACAGGTACAGCCTCTTTCTTGTGTGTCCCATGCGAGAGTATCAGTAACCAGCCTCCGGCGGCCCCCCCCCGCTACCAAGCTGCCATCCAAATACCCGAGTACAAAGCGCCTCTCCGAGAGCGCTGCGCTAGAGGGTGCCCACAGGGGTCAGGGCCCAAAAAAAGAAAGAAATGGTGGCGAACCGTCCGAGATGGAACCGATCGCAGCACTTCGATCTTCGTGAAATAAATAAAAACGGTCAAACTCTGAGACGAGATGGGATTTAGGGACATGTGTCCCCGCCCTGCACGATCTTGGTGTGAGGGATCTTCAATCCGATCTTCGTGATCGTGTTCGAGAGTCGAGATATTGAGTTTGCGAGATCGTTGTGACTAGGAGGGAGGAACGCTGGGGATTCTCAAAGGTATACCCTTGGAATGGCCGGATCCAGCCTTGAAAAGTACGAGATCGCGCGCGTTTTCGCGCACAGCACCGCCTGTTCTCCGCGGCTGAGTTGACGAGACGCGGTGCCGTGTGCCGTGTGCCAAATATGGCCACATAGTACAGCCCTTGAGGAGGAGGAAGAGGCTGGCTGGCAGTGCTGTATGCCGCCGGGGGGCAGTTTTGGGGGGTGCTGTCCCCATCCCAGGGGGCTGCAGAAGGCGTCCGCAACCGGGACAACCCGCCCCCCCCGCCGAGGCCGGTCGAAGCCCACTTGAGTGCAGCCATGAGCAGTCCTCTTGGTGCTCCTGGCGGCCGTTCAAAGCTCGGGCGCGCGCCGATGGGGGGGAGGGGGGGGTCTTGCTTGCTCCACACCGAGCGCCGTCGGTCCGGACCGGCGTGCTCAATGAGGGTAGGCCTGCACAAGGTCTGGGCCGCGGGGGCCGCTCGGCGCCAAGTGCAGTGTCACGCTCGCACGCGAAGGGGACACAATGGGAAATCCTCGTTTCCTATTCACTCGGTCCCCCAACGGAAGAGGCCTCGCTCCTATTGAACATCCAACATCATCCCTTTTTCAATGTATGTGGCTCTTTTTGAGTCGGAAAGCTATTTTCTTTTGGTTCCTGTGGGCGGGCACCCTAGCTGCGCAGACGGTCTACTAATCATAGAGGCTCAAGTGACAAGTCCACGCAGTTTATGACGGCGCAAGATGTAAGAGAGATTTGTGTTTGTTAGATGTAGAGAGAGAGAGGTCTCTCTTCTAGATGTAAAGGGTGGCGAAGATAAAAAGAAAGAAAAAACACACAAACGGCGAAGGTGTAAAGCCTGAAGCACTTGTGGAGCACTTGGAGTGCAGTCGGTAACCTCACATCCAGGGCCGGGGAGCTGAGGAGCGCACCCAGCGGGCCGGATGATCTGTGGGAAAACGATTTTCTTCTTTGCAGCAGGAGGCCGCCGAGGCGGAGGAGGCGAGGCGGGCTCGCGTGAAGCAGGAACGCGCCGCAGCAGAACAGGAGCAGCAGCGGCGGGCGGCGGCGGGCCTGCCGGCGACGGAGGGTGGCGGAGCCGGCCGCAGCGCGAAGGCGGGGCCTGACCACGACGCTCACCTCCTCGCCGTCGTCCTCAGCCTCGCCAACTCCGGCTACCTCTCAAAGGCCTGCGCGCGCTTCTCCACCAACCCGATCGCCGACACGGGCCTCTTCGACGACGGACACGCAGACGGCACGCTCTCCGAAGAACAGGCGCTGGCGCGCAACACGCTCCGCTCCCTCCATCCTCAACGAGACGGGCCGCCGCCTCCCAGCACCTTCGAGCCGGTACCTGAGCCCCTCGGCGGCGTGAGGCGCTACGCGACCAACTCCGCCGAGTACAGGAAGGCCTTCTGGGAGGTCTTCCACTCCGTCCCCAAGGCGCGCGCCATGTCCGTGGACGGCGTCAGCTACGAGGAGCTCGAGTTCCTGCACTACTCGGGCCCGGACGTGAGGGAGATCCTGTTCGACATCGTGGCCTCAACCAGGGCAGGGTGCACGACAGCGCCGCCGCGCTCTGGGGCGACCTCCAGCTGCTCGGGATCGAGAAGCGAGACGACATGGGCAACGTCACCGGCACCCGCCCCATCGGCATCCCTGCAGCCATCCGCCGCCTCGCCAACCGGGTCCTCATGAAACACCGCAGCTCTGACATGTGCGACCTGTTTACCGGCCGCACCGCCGACTCGCGCCGCCTCATTGTCGACGACATGCGCGAAATCTGCCGCCGCCCGCTCGCGGAAGGCGGCCTGGGCATGTCGGAGGCGGAGGCGGAGGCGCGCGTCAAGGACTGCAACATCCCTCTGCAGGTTGGCGTGGGCCTCGCAGGCGGCGCCGAGGTCGCCGTGCAGCTTCTGTCAGAGCGGCGCAACCCGGGCCACGCCGTCGCCTCGGACGACAAGAAGAACGGCTTCAACTCCATCTCACGAGAGGCCATCTTTGCTGGCCTGCGTCGCTGGTACCCCGAGCTCATCCCCACGGTGGCGCTGTGGTACAAGGTCCCGCGCCGCCTCTTCCTCTTCAACGAGGAGGCGCGGGACGGCGAAGGCAATGTCTTCATGTCGGCCGAGGGATGCGCGCAGGGGGACCCGCTCGGACCGTTCTTCTTCGCCATCGGCTACCACTGGACGCTCCTCGAGATGCAAGTGCGCAACCCGTCCGCCCTCATTTTAGCCTACCCTCGGCAGGTGCTCGACGCGCACGATGAGCAGGACGACGCGGAGGGTGGGCGCCGGGATTGGGAGGAGGACCCGCTTGGGTTTGACCCCCCGAGTTCATTTTGTATGATATAGCGAAAGCAGGGCCATACATCACGCCCTCAAAGTTCTGAAGTTCGGTCACTAATTTTAAAACAAATGGGCGGTCGCAATCAAGGTCAATCCAACGACACGCTCTCACTCGGCGGCTCCCTTCCCTTCTTTAATATTTTTTCATGCAGGCCTCTGGTGAGTCCTCGGCCTCGACCGCACCTGCAGATTCCCGCGCTGGTGCAAAGCACGCGCTCTCCGGCGGCTGCGCGGCGACGCGAGCTCAACTTTCACAATCGCCCGCCATGACGCTGGCAAACTCGCTCGTTCTTACGCTTCTGGCGGCGGTTTGCTCTTCCTCGGCGCGCCTCGCCCCGCTCGCGCTCCTCCTGCTGGCGGATCGCTGCGACGCCGCAGGCACGATCTGCGACAACAGCGTGCCATGCTATGGCAACTGCCCTACCTTCGTGTATGGCACGTCGCTGTGCGACGGCACCTTCTATGGCGGGGCCACCTCGGTGAATCTGGCCGACCAAGGGCTGTCGGGGACGATCCCTCCGCAGCTGGGCGGCATCTCGCAGCTGAAGATGCTTTACCTGGAATTCAACTCCATCTCGGGCACCATCCCTTCGGAGATGAGCAAGCTCTCGCAGCTGCAGCTTCTTTACCTGTACAACACCTCCATCTCGGGCACCATCCCTCCGGATACGAGCAAGCTCTCGAAGTTGGAGCATCTTAGTCTGCACAGCAACTCCATCTCCGGCACCATCCCTTCCGAGATGGGCAAGCTCTCGCTGCTGAGATATCTTCACCTGGAAGACAATGACATCTCCGGCACTGTGCCGTCGCAGCTCAACGACCTGCGGCTGGACCCCCGAGAGGAGAGGCAGAGCTGCGAGCTGGGCGGCACCAACCACTTTGCCTGCCCCCTGCCCGCCCTTCCCAATGTCTGCACCTCGGGTTCCTTTCCTCCTGAGTGCAACTACCCGCCTCCCTCGCCGCCCCCTCCATCGCCGCCTCAATCGCCGCCACCACCCTCACCGCCGCCGCCCTCCCCGCCCCCTCCATCGCCGCCCCCGCCAAGCCCGCCCCCGCCCTCGCCACCCCCGCCCTCGCCGCCCCCTCCATCGCCGCCCCCGCCGTCTCCACCGCCATCACCGCCGTCGGCGCCACCGCAACCTCCCTCGCCGCCGTCCCAACCTCCCCCGCCGGGCCCGGGAGGCCAAGAGACCAGCGGGGCCGACACCCTTGCGATCGCGGTGGGGTCGAGTGCTGGGGCCATCGTCCTCGTCGCCGCGATCGGCTGCAGCTGCGCGCTCGTATACCGACGGCAGACGAGGAAGAGGCGGAGCAGGGCGCGCGAGGAGCGCGTCACGGTCCGAGTGGAGCCATACCAGGAGGTGGAGCTCGCGCAGGTGGAGCCACGCCAAGAGGCCGGTGGCGACAAATAGGGTTTGTGGAGCGTCCAGACATGTCCAGAAGGTCCAGAAGAGAAGATGTCCAGAAGGTGTCCAGAAGATGTCCAGAAGATGTCCAGAAGGTTGGAAGAGAATGTCCGGAACGTGTCTAGAGAGTCCTCTGCAGGTGCGCTATGATGTAACATACTTGACCCCCCCCCTTGGCGCCTTGTGATTTTCCTGCGCCATCGGCTACCACTGGACGCTCCTCGAGATGCAAGTGCGCAACCCGTCCGCCCTCATTTTAGCCGTTGATGACACCTACGTCGCGGACGCGCCGAGGCCCGCGCTCGAGGCGATGCTCGAAGGCGACGCCCTTGCTCAGAAGTGGAGCGGGGTGGAGAGCAACGTCAGCAAGCGTCAGATCTGGGCTCCCGACCCCGCGTCGCTCGAGGCGGTGCGCGACTACCCGAGCGTGAGGGGCACGCCGGCGGCGCCTCCCGACGGCAAGTACGCGGGCGGCACCCTGCGAGGCATCCGCGTGCTCGGGGCGTACCTCGGCGATGACGAATGGCGGAAGACGGAGCTCGTGGTGAGAGTCGAGAGGGCGCTCAAGCCGCTCGAGGGCATCCTCAAGCTGCGCGACACGAAGGACGAGATCCACACGGCGCAGCAGGTGATGCAGGTCCTGCTGCGCTTCTGCAGCAACACGACGCTCACCTTCTTCCTTCGCGCCATGCCGCCGTCGGTCACCCTCCCCGCCGCCGAGAGGCACGACGAGCTGATTGACACGGCGCTATACAAGCTCGTCGGCGGGGCGCGGGTCGGCGCCGCCGGCACACGCTGGGAGCGCGCGCGCAAGCAGGCGCGCCTGCCCGTCAAGATGGGCGGCATGGGCCTCACCAGCGCCGTCGACATTCGCGAGCCGGCGTGGATTGGCACGTGGGCGCTCGTCGCTGGGCCCATGCGCCAGCTGCATGCTCCTTTCCGCGACCTTGACGTGAGCAAGGCGCCGGGCTCCGATTTCGACGAGCTGCGGGCGGCGCATGACAGGCTCAAGAAGGAGCACGGCGAGATCACGGCGACGTGGAAGGAGTGGGACGACAAGACGGAGGCGGAGTACTTTGACCTGGTCGGTGGCACGACGGGCAGGCCCGGAAGTCGAGGTGGAGCCGTGGGACGAGCCCGACGAGGGCGAGAAGCTGTGCGCCTCCGCGCGGCCGCCGGAGCCGGCTACGAGGGTGGCGCTCTCGCGCTTCCGGCCGCATACTCTCGTCGAGGCCAAGGAGCTGCTGCCCCTCGCCGAGTTCACGTCCAAGCACGAGTTCCTACACCAGGCGCAGCGGCGCTTCACGACGGTGGTCCACAACAGGAACTGGCGCGACCTCGCCGTGGAGCTCGCCAAGGAGGGCTCCGCGGGATCGCGGTCTGCTCCTCGCGGCAAGAAGGGCAAGGCGCAGGCCAAGGGCAGGGAGCGGGCGAGGCATGCAGCTTGGCGGGAGGCAGTCCGCTTCGTGGCGGTGAGCCAGGATGGCGCCGGCGCCTTCCTCAACGCCATCCCAATTCGGGATGACATGCGAATGGAGACTTGGGCGATGCGTCTTTCGGTGCAGCGCCGCCTGGGTCTCCCCCCCTCGACGTGGCCTGCCAGGCCGCGGCGGCGGGCAAGAAGACTCGGAATGGGAAGACCCACGACGAGTATGGCGACGCTGCTGTCAACGTACCGCAGCAGGGCCACAACACCAGACACAAGTACACGCTTCGACGCCTCATCCTCGCCCTACGCGCCGCGTGGGGCACCGCTGTGCGAATGGAGCCGAAAGCCCACCTCGGTCAGAGTTACAACAAACAACCCGACGTGGACGCGGACAACATTGGCAAGGACGGCACGCACTATTGCGGAGACGTCAAGGTCGTCTGTTCCCTCAGCAGCAGCGGGGACAGAGCGGGGAGCACGGTCGGAAGGGCGCTTTTGTCGCTTTCGGCAACACTGAATCATTCTACCGGAACATGGTCATGGGGCATGGGCCCTACTGCGAGGAGGGAGAGGGAGGTGGGGGGCAGGGGGAGGGGGGGGGAGAGGAGGAGGGGGGGGGGAGGGGGAGGGGTACGGGGGGGGCGGCATGGAGGGGGAGAGGAAGAGCAAGGGCGAGAGAGGGCAAGGGACTGGGCGCTGGCATACCAGGGGGGGCAGGGTGGTGGGCGGCGACCGCCGCATACCGTCCTACGGCGGGGATTATCGCTACGCCAGGGAAGACAAGGGCGTCGAAGTGCAGCTGCTGCTGTTCGAACCGTTCGGCGGGTTCGGAAAGGGGGTCCGTGAGATCCTCCGGAGGGCGGCGGACGTGCTACAGAACAAGCTGACGCGGGCCCAGTACCTCGATGAGGTGACTTGGACCACCAAGAGCTGGCTGGGGCTGCAGAAGCAGCGCATCTCAGTCGTTCTTCACACGGCCATCGCAGAGCAGGTCGTGAATGAGCTTGCCTGTGGCGGGGGTGGGCGGGTGCACGGAGCTAAGTGCCTCGCCACCCTCGCAGGAGTCGCTTAGGCGGCTCCCGTGGTGTACCTGTGTTAGTGCCAGTGCGCGCCAGTCCCGTGCCCAGTGTTGTGCGAGGGAGCGTTGTAAAATTCTTCTTTGCTCCTCCACCGCGCTCTTGGGAGGGACAAATATCTAGATACCCACGCTCCTGCACGGACATGGCACGCATCGTGCTCAGCCTCCTCGCCCTCCAGCCCTCTGTCGGCGGCCTGCAGTCTCCGCGGCGCCCGATCGCCAGCACGTGTGCCAGACCATCTGTCTCACCCGCCGCCGCTGCTGCCTCTGGCCCCTCGTTCAGCGAGCTGCCGCTGCCCGAATGGCTCGTGGATCGGACCGAGGCGCTCGGCTACACGCATGCCACCCCCGTGCAGGCTACCGCCATCGGCCCGCTCATCGATCGGCGCGACGCCGTCGTGCTCGCTCAGACGGGCTCAGGCAAGACGCTCGCGTACATGCTGCCGCTGCTCGCCTCTCTGCGGCCGAGCGCATCGGTGCAGGCGCTCGTGCTCGCCCCCTCGCGCGAGCTAGCCGCCCAGGTCGCGATTCGCCCTCTCCAACCTCCTCCAACCTTCGGAGCGCTCTCCGAACCTTCGCGGAGCTCTCCTGCAGGTGGCGCGGGTCGCACGGAGGCTGGCGGCAGGCAGCCCGGACCGGCCGCTGGTGATGGCCCTGCTCGACGGGTCGGCGGCGCGGCGGCAGCGCGTGTGGATCCGGGCGCAGCCGCCGCAGGTGGTCGGCCCACTTCAAGCAGAGTCCAATCCCGTCCAGCTTCAGCTTGAATTCCACCGCCGCAGGTGATCGTCGGCAACATGCAGCAGGTGGACGCCCTCCTCTCCTGCGGGCGGCTGCAGCTCGGCTCGCAGCCCCTAGCTGCGGAGGAGCGACCCGTGTCCCGAGAGACTCGCACTCGGGCGCACACGTATTCCACTCCATTGCACTCCATCCCGCTGTCTCCCCGTGTTCTCCAGCTGTGTTCCGCAGCCCGCGTGTGTCGTCAACGCGATGCTCCGATTTCGCCGGCTCCCCTTCTCGTCCGTGCTACCCCCCGCGACGAGGGGAAGTCTCGGGGGAGCGCACCATGGCAAATGAGAAAGGCGGGCGGGCGGGCGGGCGGGGGAGGGTGTGGGACGTCATGCGGATTGGTCCAATCCGCACCTCTGATGTCCTCTCCGAGGAAGGCTCGATGGTCCTCATATCTCCCCGCATCTCCCCACATCTCCCCACATCTCCCCACATCTCCCCGCATCTCCCAACCTCTCCCCACATCTCCCCACATCTCTCCCGGCGCAGGCTCGCTGCGCACGCTGGTTGTGGACGAAGTCGACGCGGCGCTGAGTGCGCCGGAGACGCGCGCAGCGCTCGAGCGCGTGCTCGCGGCGCGCTGTGGGCCCGAGCCTCGGCAGACCGTCTTCGTCTCCGCGTCGCTGCCGCAGCGGAACCACTTTGTCAAGCAGGCGGGCCGAGACCTCACTCTTCATAGTGTGACTGTTCTCGTTGCTGCTGCCGCCGCTGCTGCTGCTGCTGTTGGTGTAGTCGCAGCCTCCTTGTCGAGCAGGCGGTGGCGCAGCGCTGGTGCGGCACCGAGCCGATGCTCATCCACTCGCAGCCGGAGCAGCCGGTGAGCGTAGTGCCCATATCTCCCCATATCTCCCCATACCTCGCAGCCGGAGCAGCCGGTGAGCGTGCCCATATCTCCCCACATCTCCCCATATCTCCCCATACCTCGCAGCCGGAGCAGCCGGTGAGCGTGCCCATATCTCCCCACATCTCCCCATATCTCCCCATACCTCGCAGCCGGAGCAGCCGGTGAGCGTGCCCATATCTCCCCACATCTCCCCATATCTCCCCATACCTCGCAGCCGGAGCAGCCGGTGAGCGTGCCCATATCTCCCCATATCTCCCCATATCTCCCCATACCTCGCAGCCGGAGCAGCCGGTGAGAGAGCGGCTGCGGCATCCCCTCACCCTCACCCCTCACCCTCACCCCTCACCCTCACCCTGCCCCTCACCCCTACCCTCACCCCCTCACCCTCACTCTCCCCCCCCCCCCTCCCCCTTCCCCCTTCCCCCTTCCCCCTTCCCCCTTCCCCTTCCCCCCCCTCCCCCCAGGTGCCGGAACAGCTGCGCCATCTGGTGGCGGTCTGCGAGACGCCTCGTCGAGTCGCGGCTCTCCGCGTCTTGCTGAGGAGCGACATCACTGCACTGTAGTGAAGTCCCCGCACTGTGCTGTCTAGACTACACAACAAGACTACACCATTCTATACCACACTACACTGCACACTGCTCCGCACCGTACTCTCTCACTGTACTATTGCTGCAAGGCGCGACGACCACTACCGCACCACCCACGGGACCGAACCCACACTGGGTTCGAGACTCTGGAGGTATGGGACTAGGCGCGACGACCCGTCTCTGCGCGCCGCCATCGTGTTTGTGAAGGCGGGCCGCCCTCTCGAGCGGATCGCCGAGGCATCTGTGCTGCCGTCGCCTGGCACCCGAGGAGGCACCCGCCAATCCCCCCGGCGTGCCCGAGATCGCAGGCGGTCGGCGGCGTGCTGCAGCCGGAGCCGCCAGAGATCCTCTCCGACGAGTCGACGCTCCGCCAGCGCGCACGCGCCGTCGCGTCCCTCCGCGACGGCTCGTAGCGCCTAGTTGAGTACAGATCGATCTCCACATATCTCCCCATATCTCCCCACGGCTCGTAGCGCCTAGTTGAGTACAGATCGATGTGCTCTGACTCGCGCACTCGGCAGCACACCCCACAGATTGAGAGGACACGCGCACTCGGCTGTCCTCGCCGCTGTACTCCGATGCACCATGCGGTGTCCGTCTAGTGCTCGAGCCGTCCGCAGTCTCTCGATGCCCCGAATGCAACGGCACGGCGCCGTCTCCCCGCCCCGACCTTGGCGTCTTCACACCGCAGGCTCGCGCCGCCTCCTCCTCTCGACGCCGCTCGGCGCGCGCGGACTCGACATCCCAGAGTGCTCCCACGTCTACCTGTTCGACCTGCCGAGCAGCGCAGAGGACTACCTCCACGCCGCCGGCCGCTCGGGCCGTATCGGCAACTCGGGCACCGCGACAGTGCTGTGCGCCGAGAAGGAGCTCTTCCGCTTGCGCCGCATCGGCAACGCTCTCGGGATCGACTTCGAGGATGCCGCGCCGCCTCGCACCTAGATCGATCTAGGGCGAGGCCACGGCAGCCGGCAGGATCCTCTTTGTCTTTTGGTGCGGCACCCCATAGCCATACACGGCACGCGATCGCGAACCGCTCGCTCGTGAACGTGACGCAGGACGTGGATCCCAACGTCCCAATTCCCAAGCCCAAGTAGCAAGTTTTGGAAGTTTGAGAAAACTATCAGTTTGTCCACTGTGTCCTCTCTGGTCGTCTCTCGTCTGTCGGAGCTCACTCCTCACATCTCACAACAACGCAATCGCAGAATCATCTTACAAAAAACACAAACACCCTCGCACAGAAGATAGGGCCTCGGCACCCGCCGGCGTCGGTGTCTCGAGTCGAGTGTCGCCCTGACGCACAACGCGCACCGCGCATGTGTCGGGCATCGCATGTGTCGGAGCATGTGTGTCGGAGGGTGGGTAGGGGGTTGGATTGGCGCGGTGGGTCGGCGAGCAGAGAAGAGGGGGTAGAGCCGATGTGAGGAGAGTCCAGACACTCAGCGCCGCCCGCCGCGGCGATTGTCGTCCGCGCGGTCGCCCGTCTGGAAGAGGGCGTTGATCTGGTCGACGGTCGCCTTTGTCCCGTCGGCATCGTCCGAGCGGAGGTAGGTCATCGGCGCGTGCAGCAGCTTGTTGATGATGCCCTTGGTGAGCACCTCGACCGCCTGCCGCTGCTTCGGGTCGAGCGACTTGAGCTTCTTGGTCGCCTGACGGGCCACCAGGGGGGGGGGGGGGGGGGGTTTAAAAGGGGAGGGGGCGGGGGTTTTAACCGGGGGGGGGGGGGGGCCCCCGGCCCCAAAAAGGGCCCTTTTGAGGTGGGGGGGGCCTTTTTTAATTAACTTTCGCGGCCCCTTTTAAAATTTCCCCCCCTTCTGAAAAAAGGGGGGCCAAACTAAAAAAACCCCCCCCTTGGGAAAAAAAACCCCCATTTTGTGGGGAAACATCCCTCCCCCCTGAGAAATTTTTTTTGGGGGGACCTCTGTTTTTTTCCCCACCCCTTTTTGGGGGCCGCCCAAATTTTCCGGGGACCCGGCCAAAAATTTTTGCCCCCCCCAAAAAACTTTTGG